TTTAATTATAGTTTAAAAAAGAGGGGGAAAAAGAAATTGAATTAATTTAATAGTGAGATTTTTAATGTGGATGATATTTATTGTGTTGCCCATTTTTTGTTTCTTTATTTTTGAATGGTTAATTCCCTTTTTGTGTTAATTGGGGTGAAAATGTCAATCACTTCCCTTTAAATATTAGAATTAACAAGACTGGTCCCTGCAAAACTAAATGATTCACTTTAATATTTTCTCCTCCTTTAGTGATGATCTAACATCAATCCTATATTTCATAGTGACGGACAGGAGAGCTGCTGAACGCTGCCACATTCACTGCAGAAAACTGTCGGTGCAGACATTTAAAGTTCATGTACAGCCTGTCAAATTAAATCAATCATAGGCCTCCTCTTGAAAGTCTGCAAACGTTAATGTTTTTCCTGTCACTGCTGCTGATGCAGCCGATGCCATGGCAACCACTGAGTCCCACCACGTAACAAATGCCACTTTAACGCCTGTCCATCAATCACCAGCCGATCCAATGCAAAGACTAAAATTAAAAGGGTATCCCCACTACCTTTTTTTTTTTTTTTTTAATTGCCCTTCTGCATTTATGCTAAAAGTTTTCTCATTGCAAGAAAACAGCAATTTGGCCTCATCAGTGTGTTTTAATCGTAGTGTCCAGACTACAAGAGACACAGAATGAGTTACGTCTGGTTCCAGGTCCAGGTTAAACTCGTCACTGTAGGATGAATCTGTTGCTTTAGTCTTTTCATAGGATTCACTGACGATACAGTTTCTCACACTCATTCGTTTTGCACTCCATCAAGGAAAGTGATGAAGAGTCGCTTCTGGACCGGACCTCTGTTAACACCGACGACACACATCAGATAAAAAGAGCTCGGTTCTTGAAATATTTAATAAAGACTTTGATATAAATTATAAATAAAAACGATGGGAGTGTTTCAGAACCCCTTATATATATATTCTGTTATGTCTTGAGGCAGAACAGAGACTCAGATACAGAGAAAAAAAATTCAGGATGCAAGATAAAAGTCAAACAGTAAAAGTCTTTACTGGGAATCTGCAGAGGATCAGTCCAAAGCAAACGAAGAAATCTGAGAAGGAAGGAGGCACAAATTCAAAAACTTAAGAACAAAGCAGAGACGAAAACCACGGAGACTTTTAACAACGTTGAAAGGCAACGAACACATGAGGATGAACAGAGATGATCGGGCAGAGAAACATGAAAAGCGCTGGAGTACACACCAGTCAGCGAAGACGTTAAAACCACCTGCCTAATGTTGCCTCGTTTCCCCTTTAAACCGTTGACTTTCGGACTTCAGACCTCGAAAGGTGTTTGGTTGTATCAGGCATGGAGACATCAGCAACAGATGCTTTAATTCCTGGAAGTTGCAAGGTGGGGCCTCCATCTGGTGAGTTTGAAGGCCGAGCCAACATCTTGAACTCTTTGTCATGTTCCTCAAACTATTCCTGAACAATGTTTGCAGTGTGGCAGGGAGCATCATCCTGCTGGGAGAGGACATCAGGGAATACTGCTGCCATGAAGGGGTGTACAGATGTCAAAGGTACATCCACATGAATGCAGAACCCAAAGTTGACTTCAGCTTGCCTTCCTTCCAACCAGCTGCCATCTCGTCTCCAAGTCATCAACCCAAACATATTGCAAAAGAACATGAAATTCATCAGACCAGGCCACCTTCTCCCATTGCTCCATGGTCCAGGTCTGATTCTTCTCTATGCTTTCGGTGGTGGACAGTGTCTGCAGCTGCACAGCGTCAAGGTTTTCAGCCGTTTGTGCATCAGCTCGTCTGTGGAGTCACACAGCCGGCCTCTGATCCCTGCATGCATCAGGGAACACCGGACCCCCGTGACCTTGTTACCGGTTCACCGGTTGTGCTTCCTTGGACCACTTTTTGTTGCCACTGCATACCAGGAACCCCCCCACACAACACTTGTCGTTGTGGAGAAGCTCTGAACCAGTCACGTAGCAGCTCGGCTGTTGTCCGAGTCCTTCAGATTCAGCTTCATGAGGTGACTGTTGATGATCTGCTGTCTGATATATTCCACCTCCTGACTGTAACAAGATAATCCTTGCTACTCACTTCACCTGTCAGTGATTGTAATGCTGTGTCTGATTGGTGTAAAAAAAAATAATCAAAGGCAGGTGAAAATAAATCGAGAGCTGGTGACACCCCAGGGCAGGATTTTAAAGTGTTTATTACAGTGTCAAACAAAACAGGCTATGACTATCAGGATGTGAAATATTCCAAACTTCAAGTGATATGAAGCAATGCAACATGTTTAATGGAGTTACACTGTGAAAGTAAAAATGTAAAAGAGTTTTGATCTGTAATGTATGTTAACTTAGCTGTAATTGTACAGTTGTTCCCTGTTTTATTGATATTATCTAGTAAATAAATAAAAAAAAATAAAAAGAGAGCGAGAAAAAAACTCTACCTAATGTCCACATATGGCTGTTTGTTCTATTATGATGTTTGACTGCAAAATTACAATCTTTTAAAGTATTTCCATCAGCAAAAATATAATTTTATAGATATTTACTGTTTAAATATATATATATGGATTGAAAATAGTAAATCATTGTTTTAACTGTTATTTTCCAGATTTTTCCTGCTTTAAAAAAAGAATTACAGACAATATCTAGGGAAATCTTCCACATTTAAAAAATAAAAATAAAAAATAAAAAAAATAATCTACATTTTTTGCGAATTTGTTGCAATGGATTAGCCATTTTAAATACACTTGTCACTGACACGGTTTTGCCAGGGCATCATCACTGCATCTCGGGCTTAGCACCACCGAAGAAGAGTGATTGGTTCAGAGAAACATAAACATCCAGACCATTTTGTTCACCTTATGGCAGAATGATAATGAGGTGCAGCTAGACCATTCGCCACCACTGACTCAGTGCTGTGGAGATGCAATACTATTGTTAGACAGAACCAGCTCTCTCTCCTTGCTAAGCTAAGTTCTGGTTGTAACTTCATATTTACCATATAAACAAGACTCTCAGCAAGACAGCAAAGAAGCACGTTTCTCTACATACTGAACCACTCGCTTAAATTATTCCTGAATCAGCAGGCGTTTCTCTCTTTTTCCTCTCAACTCCCATCCTCCTTTTAGCCTCCTTAATTGGAGCCACATCCTCACCATCTCTCCTGCTTTATTCCTTTCATCCTACCCTGCTCCATCTGTTTCATGTGCTCTTCTTATGTCAGATGGCTGTGATGATCAGTCCGGGGTTCCTCATCGCCCGGACCCCCTACGTCGCCGTCAGCTTCTGGAGCATGTTTCGCCCTCGAGATCAGGTCCGCATGACTGTCGTCGTCACCCTCCTACCCTGCCTCTTCGCCAAGAGCTCCACCACGTACAACCCTTTCATATACTTCGTCTTCCAGCGTAGATCCAGGCACAAACCCCTCGGCCTTAAGAGGCGCATCTTTTGTTGCTCTGATGGATCCAACTCACCCGCTGAGGGCAAACACGGTGAAAAGCTCTGACTGGAGCTTCTGGCAGGAAGTCTGAGAGTCAGATGATGACTTTGAGTTAATATCGTTCTCTTTTTAAGTGGGCACTGAAGGAATACATCTCCTCATTTTGTGAAATTTGATTTGTTACATGTTTTGTAAGCGTTAGATGACAATAAGGAGTCCGTGCCTGTCGAGTAAATGTTGATAAAGCAGCCGCTTCGCTTAGCTTAGAACCAAAGCTTGAAACGGGGGAATTCCTTTCTTCTAGAAAGGTTCTGAGGAAGTTCTGGTCAGACTTTTATCTTCAGGATTTCTTCTAGTTCCCAGAATTTTTTTTCCTAAAGACAAAAAGAAAAGTTTGCCAAAATAATTCTTTAAAAATTTGGCAAATGTTGCATTGAGAATCCTTGTTATCACCTAACATTGTGGAAACGTTTTTAGAAAGTTCTCAACAACAACAACAGAACATCCTCAGAATACGGCAGACAAAACGTTCTACGTTTGTGAACATGTCATGTTACATTTTATAATATCATAAGGCCTCAGTAACACACTGACAACAGTTTTTTAAATGTTGGTTTGAAAACATCATTTTGTTATTGTAGAACTTATTTTAACAACATCTTTCAAACATCCATCGAAGGATTTCTGTCTTAGTTCACTTTTAACATCACAGGAACATTATTTTTATTTGTTGGGATTTTTTAAATGTTCAGATTAAAATGTTTTCTTTACAAAAATGCTCCATCTTTTCGATAACGTTGGTCAGTATTGTTTGCTAGGCTGCTGTCCAAACATTACAATGTCCACCTGTTGGAACCTTTAAATCTATTCTGCAAAATCCAGTTTTTCATTACTTTTGAGCATAAATATTTATCAACAGTGTGTCTAGAGACCCACAAAATCTGAGTGAAGAACATCACTTGGTTTCTTTCTTTTCTCATAGATCAGGAAGTTTGTCTCCGAATTAAGCTTTTCGGGTTTGGGTTCCTCTTCTTGACAGGGATGTAAACAGCAGCAGCTCAGTGGGATGTAAAGCTACAGACACTGAAACAGTCTGTATGGAACAGGGCTGGAACTACAGGTATAATATATATGGTAGAATGAATGATGTGCAGTCTTGAGCTAAAACTTCAAATGCATATTCTAGGGATGTAAGTGTTAACTTGCTAGAAAAAAGAAAAAAAGGACCATATGGGACCTTTAAAGTTCTTAAATTAAATAATTGGGTCTCATTTGTTTGTTCTGTGCAAACAAAAAAAAGTAAAAATCAGTCAAAAATTGTCTTAGATTAATGTTTTTCTATTGAAGACAAACATATCTCATCCATTGTCCTTCCCTTGGTCCCCTTGCAGCCCCTCTCTCCATGTAAGTGTCAAAGCCAATGGATCTACATGCTGTGGCTTGTTTTTTTCTACCAAAGAAAAGAAAACGTGTTTCAAACGTTGCCACATGTAGATAACACCGGCCTGTGTCTGTATTACAAGCAAGATAAGAGAAACCATGCCGTCGTTGTGTCTGCCATGAGGGAGGGCAGCTCCTGTCAGACTCTGATGAGGGTTTTTATAGAGCAGAACACACTGGGCTAAGGTGTGGCTCATGCAGCTGCTGAACCTCCATCCAACACTTGCAGATCACCTAAAAGAAGAGAGACGCCTTAAAAAAAAGGAAAGAAAAGAAAAAACCTGGTAATCCATCCAATCAAGCATTTCAACCTAACTTTAACGCTGCTACTCCATCATACACCTTCCTCTTTTTGATCCTTGTCCCTCAGTTCCCAGTCTTGGTGCTAAGCTAAACTAACCAGCTGCTGATTCTAATCACATTTAGTGTAAAGAACCGTCAGTTTTCTCATCTGACTCTTGGAGCAATTGTGAAAGTTTTCAAAGAGCACTGGATGGAGGCGAAGCAAGACGTGATCTCCAGCGGTTAGGTCAGAACAAAAAGCAGAATAAGTGATGTAAAGGAGAAAAAAAACTGAATTATTATTATTTGTGTGCATGACTTTTCCTTGACCTCTCATCGCCGAGTCCATGTTCGTTGTTTGTGGTGAACTCTCGGTTCAGTGAAAAGTGCTGTATCGTTTCACCCTGACATGCTGAGTTCAAGATCAGCTGGCAGCCTTCAGACGATGGTAGCCAGCTCTGAAATGTGGTGTGAAAAATGGAAATGACTTCTCTTAAAGTTCACAGCTTTGTGGACTAATCGGGTCTA